ATAACAACGGATGTAGCAAAGTCCGCGGATGTGCAGATTATTACGAATGTCCTTACGCATCCGCGAGTTCGCATGAATGGAATCGAATCCGTAGTAATTCTCACACTTCCGATGCATTTACGCGAATGAGTCATCATCCAAGATCGCGGAGTACTTGGAGTTTTCATACAAACGAACGCGTTACTCATAGCACGCAATACTAACGTCACGATGATTGTGCGAGATAATAGAGTTGAACAAAAGTTTATTATATTTTTAAAAAATATTATAAATCTTTCCTCAAGAATAATACAATATTATATGAAATCTTGTAATTATTTCGAGATTTCTCCGAAAAAGACCGCAAGCGTACTTCGCTTTTTGCGGTTAAAGTAATTATGTAAAATGATAAAGGCTATACGTTCACAGAAAAAATAGTTTGGCAATTTGTAAAATTTTTTAATACGTTTATACATTTAGATCTAATGAAGAATTGAAAGCAAGATCCAATCATGTTAAAGAATCTTACAACCGTTGAAAAAAATATGTCGAATTTAACATAAATTACATGTCTCAAACGGTTCACTCAAATTTTTTGGGTTAATTTAACACAAGATGAAGATTACATAGTTATATAAGAGAATAAATACAAAAGAAAGATAATATCGACACAATTTATTAACAAATTGTGGAAACATATTTTTTCAATAAAATTAATATTTATGATATGTAAAATTAATATTTTTTTTATTCATTCATCTTAGAATTTACGTTTTAAAACACTTTATTTTTACGTTGTTTACTTATACATTTTGAACTAAGAAATGTCGAATATCAGTTTACACACACAACGTAACACAAAATCTCTAAATAACATAATTACATGTATTAAATTAATGCATCTCGAATATATTAAAAAATTCAACACAAACTGTTAATAAGAACGTGAGTGGATCATTTCCACCGCAAACACACAATTTTTTTTACGCTGCAAAACTGTTTTTTCCGCAAACGCAGTTAATAGCACTTTGATTGTCACACGGATTTTTGTATAATCGATCCCTGACATTATACACTATATAATTTTATACTTAATTTTTATAAAACTTTCATAAGTATAAATTGATTTATTTGATTAAAAATTTCATGTTTTTAAAAATATTTATAAGATGTATATATTCAAATTGATATACATATGGCGCCTTGAATCTGTATAGGTAGATATATATTTAATTAAATATACATGACAATCAAAGTGTTAAGAAAATTTGAAAAATTATAAATGCTATAATTTTTTAAATTTTGTTTAATATTTTTCTATATATCCTCGCAAAAAAAGTTTTGACACAAGTTAAAATCTTTCAAATTATTTCATATTATTTGCGAATTGTGTTCTAAATATATCGGTTTTAAATATTTTAATTAGAAAAAAAATGATACACAAGTTGAATTTAAATATTTTCTAAAGAAAAATGACACAAGGGAAAAATGATAATTCAAAATAGAGATAATTTTTCGGAAGTAATACCATTACAACATTATTAATATCTACATCACTTCCAGAGAATTTGCAAAAATTAAATTTGTGATTTTTATATATAAGTTTACTCATATATATATATTTGATATCGTCATAAT